TGATTATGGTTTGAACCACATACTTTTAATGGGTTAATTAATTTATGCAGGCAATATTTTACGCTAAAAAACTGGACAGTGAAATAGGGCGTTTATCTATTTAAATATTCATTCTTGGTGACTTTTGATGTGTGTCTGATACGGTAAAGGATTATCGCAATTTGAAAAATATGCAATAATATAAGCTTAAATATTATTAATAATATTGCGAAATTTAAAAAATCATTTAATTTTAGCACATTTTGTCATATTCCTGAAACTATTTACATATATCAAGAATAAAATCACACACAATTATAATACTCGCTTGTTCAAAGAAATTCCAATGCTAAAATCTTTTAGAATAATTTTTTTTTATGAATCATTCTACTAATGATTAAAAAGATTTTTAGTTAACTATTTTTGGTAAGTAAGGTAAACAATTGTTTAAATGATTTAAATTGCAGAATCTAAATTTATAAAAAAAAATTGACGAAATATTTTCTTCACCATTACATTTTCATTTTTCAACTCTAGGGATTTTTGGATTTTGTCTTTTATATTACTTAAAGTACTTCATTTATTTTAATTTGAAATTATCAAGTTTTATACCTTACTACTTATAAACACTAAATATTATAAAATAAAAAAATTATTTACCTTACATTAAACAATCAAATATACTGAACAATTGATAAAATTTCCTTTCGTGCGAAATTTTTTTCAAATAATTTAGAACTTTGACATTGTAAGAGTTCGATTCACGTATTTTCGGATTAAAAAATTCTGAACTCATAAAAAAGGTTCTTATCTAAAGAAATTATTTAAGATGTCCGAGAAATTCAGTTTTTATTCAGCACATTTAAGTGATGCTTGAACTAATAAGCTTGCATTATTAGGTACAAAGTGATACTGAGTGTAACAGAATCAGATTTTATTTATTTATTGCACAAACATCACAAATTCTATGTTTTGGTTCCTCTGATATGATAAATGATGCGTAAATGTAAGAAATGATGTGGTAAATGATGCGTGCAGGGCAGAAAATTAAACTATATTTAAGTAAGGAGAGTAAGAAAGGAGAAGTAATTTGTTTTCATTTTAAATATTTAGTATTTCATTCATGTTAAACATAATAAAACGTTAATTGAATAAAAGATTTTGCAGAAATTTGCTGCTAAATAAGAATTAGAAGTGCTTTATCTCAAAGTTTGACTTAAGGGTGGTTTATAATGATTAGAGCCTGGATTTTTATTGCATGAAAAAGCCTTAAAAAACCAAAAAATGCTCTATAGCCTTTTCTTTTTAAAGTCCAAATGTTTTATGGTTTTCCATTGATGGACCAACATAATCTTGATGGTAACCAATATTAGTAACCATCATCTCAATGTAGGAATTCGGATTGATTTATGATGGTCCAATATAAGAATGGAAACTTGTTTTGATGGTTTGTTCATGTTAAATCATCATGAATTTCCATCATATTATCTTAGAAATCAAATGTTGGAACAATCATGAACAACCATCATCCCAATGTAGGAATACGGACTGATTTATGATGGTCTAACGTTGAAAAAAATTGTTTTGATGGTATATTGCTGAGAATCAATAAGAGTTCTCATTAAACAATTATGGAAATGTATAGTTGGAACCATCATGGACCTTCACGGATCATCATGAAATGTTGGTTTAAGAGTCAAACTTCTCCTGGTGGTTAACCATCATGGTATTAAAGTATCATTTTCAATCATGGAATTTTGTTGGCGTATCAAAATCCATGAACACGTAATGGGGAAATGTTTGATAATGGTGACCATCAAATGATGTTGGACCATCATGCTGAAGCCAACATAAACCATGAAAAATTTTGGTTGGGGCCATCAAGAATTTTGACTTTGGTTACATCGATCCACACCTTCACTTCTTAGCTTCTAAAAACATGCTATAAGAAAATTTGTAGTTTTACCTTCACTGATATATTCGTGAATATTAAAACTTTCTGGGGATTCCAATAGATGCAGAACACGTAATTTATTTGGTGGAATTCCACATAAACAGAAGTGATTTTCGAAAAATCACTCTAAATCCACGTGTTTGAAAACTTAAATATTTTTAAATATCACATAATTTAGTTATTCTAACAATATTTTTTTCCTTTGACATAGTGGTTCTTTGATCTGTATGAAGCTTTTGAATTTATATTTACTTCCTATTTTAAATTAATACAACAAAAAAACCTTCACTGAAACATTCGTAAACTTTTAAGCTTTCTGGGGATTCCAGTAAATGCAGAACTTGTAATTTATTTGGTAGAATTCCACAAAAACGGAAGTGATTTTTGAAAAATGACGATAAATCGTGTTTGAAAACGTAAATATTTTTAAATATTACATAATTTAGTTAATCTAAAAAAAATTTTTTCTTTTGACGTAGTGTCTCTTTGATCTGTATGAAACTTTCAAATTTTATTTTCCTTAATATTTTAAATTAATACAGCCAAAAAACATTTAGATCCACTCAAGTGTACCGTGAAATGTACATCGAAATTTAAGATAGCGTAGTAAAGTGAAATTTCATACTATCATGAGTATTTAATTTTTTAACTATTAAGTAATATTTTTACGTGCATTTTAATTAATGATATTAAGTTAATATGTTTCTTCCCGTAATTTTGGAATCTTACCCCCAAGAATTAAATATTTTTATGTAATTAATGTCAGATTTTTTTCAATAATTTATTTTGCTTGCCTTGCATAATAAAAACAGTTTTGAAACTGAGATTTAATGCAGTATTGCACAGCACTTAGATGAAACTTCCTATTTTCTAAAGTTGTTTTTCTAAAGAATTATTATATCTATGAATCATTGTATTTAAAGAGACCATAATATAATTATACAAAACTACAGATTCCTCTTTGTTCCTACTTTATGTGCTATTTAACATTAAAATTATTTAGTAATTATTTCGAATAATTTCGTAATTATTTAGGTGCAATTTATATTCCTTTACTCAGTCAAAATCGGAGGTCTACGTATGTGTACGTGAAATTATTAGCCCCCTGGTAACATAATTCATATTTTGTTTATCTCGTTATAACTTATTGAAGTTAAATTGAAATTCGAAATTGTAAATTATTTCTTTGCTGTATTCCTTCGTACTTCAATAGTGAAGAGAATAAATAAAAAAAGACCCTGTAATGAAACGAGAATTTCAATCTTAAAAATTGCCTTTTTCTCAAAATTTCATATGGCATGTATTTGTATAAAAGTATGTATATTTAATTCGAATTAAGTTGAAATTGTTAAGTTGTTGCTTGAAATTAATGCCAAGTGTTTAAAAAAGAGGAAGGAAAATATACACTCACGCATGCACATTAACTACCCTATAATAATAGAAGAGACACTTGACACATTTCTTTAAATGCAGATTTGGATAAGACACATTTTTTTGAATTTCTCAAGAAATTTTGCAAGATATTTTGTAAATTTAGAAGTGTTTGGTTCAAACGATTTTCATGCTTTGAAATAAAATTTAAAGCTTTCACCGGTTTTAGGATCCATAGAAAAATTACAAAATGAAACAAGTAATTTTGAACACCTTATTCCAGAAAATTAAGCAATACGTTTGTAACTTGTATCGATTACTTTGGTTGTTATTTGTAATGTCTACGTAAAATATCATAAATCTGACTTAAATATTTATGGAGATATGAACACTGTTATAAAAAAACTAATTTTTTGTTGTCTCGTGTTATTTTTCTATAACTTTAAAAACATTCAATAAAATTCAACAAAATTTTTGGTGCAATTTAAAATAAATTACAAAATTATTCTTTCAAAATTTTGAAAAAAATTTGCTTAAAACTACGCAAGATATGAGAATTTAAATTAGTTCTTTTGTACTGCACATGCCTTCAAAAAGATATAACATTTTTTTTCTTCATAATTTTGTAGGGAATCGTATTTGACAACTAAAGTGTTATTTAAATATCTAAAAAACTTAAAAAGTTTAGAGAAATTTTCTATGTAGTTTTTGTACTTTTCAAAAGAGAGTTCAAACTGATAAGAGGCTACCTACATAATTACATAATCCTTTCATAAGTGATCAGTGGTCCAGTCTTTCCTAGAATCTGTAAATTCTTAAATAAGACTGCAAAAAATTATAACTCAGTTAAAATGTGCGAAAATTGGGAAAATGAGCAAATACTTCTAAAACTCGAAAATATAATGTCCAAAAATAAAATAAAAATATCCAAAAATTTCGAAAAATAACCTAAAAGGAAAAAAAAAATATCCCACAAACTAAAAAACGAAATGCTCGAAAAAATTCTATAAAAATTCCCTGAAAAGGCAAAAGTATCAAAAAATGCAAAAGTCATCGAAATAAAGACTTTAATCGTAATTTTAAAAAAATAATATGCATGTGCAGATGAAGCTCGTCATATTGAAATGATTGTGATTTTTTTTGGATTGCAAATTAAATTTTTAATCTCATTCTGTATGCTATAAAAAATGAATAAATAAATAACAATATTTTTAAAAAGTTTAAATATTTATTTAAAGTAAAATGTTAACCCTCTATTTCCATGTAGTTTCTCTATTAGTGCAAGAGATAATTATTTTTATATTGAACTTAATATAATATGAAATTCATTGTTTTGTTTTAAAAATTAATATATTTTTGTTCCAGCATTGAAGTATAATTAAAAGAATTTGGGCAGTATAGCGATAAGATATTATTTTATTTCTTAGTTTTGTTTTCAGAAAGGTACTTCACGAATTCCCATATAATAATAGCACGTGACATAAAATCATTCTATAGTCAACGTGACATAAATATATCCTACTTTTGTGGTGTTTTTTCTCAAACTAAGCTCTTAAAAATGTTTTTTTTTAACATTTTGAAAATGTGATTTTAGGATATTTAATAAATTTTACTAATTTTTTTTAAAAAATTGTACAATATGTAACTATTTTGAAATATTGAGATAAAATTCATGAATAAGACTGGAAACGAGACCGACCATCAAATAACATCTTTATTTACATCGACACAATAATATATACAACACAAATGAAGAAATAAATACATGAAATGGATACACTTACTATGATACATAATGTACAACATATGTGTTTATTGGATACTTCGTACCCCATTAGGAACTAAACACCAGGTGTTTATATGCAGCCAGCCCATATAATCTTTCTTCAGCAATTAAACACTCCATTCCTTTGAAATCCTTTCACTTGAGTGTTAAGTAACATTTAAATTCAACTGGAAAAGAGAGAATCGAAATAAGCAACAGACAAACTACAAAATTCATATTGAAGCTTATTATTTATGTATCAAAGATAAATAAAAACACTTCCTGGACAATAATGCAAAAACAAACTAATTCCATTTTCCACATTAGTATAAACGAATTTCATATTAATAGATTAATGTTAATATGAAAACGAAAAAAAAGGTTATTATTGATAGTTTATCTCAAAATTCTTGCAAAAATATAGTTACAGAAAATATTGAACCAATTTTTCATACAGAAAAATATAGTTTAATCTCTCAGCAGTTTTACGCTCAATTTAAAGTATCGTAATCTTGGAGAAATTTCATAAAAAATAGTTATTTTACAAAATAACTCAATGCTAAGGTTTACATAGGAATGACTTTTAATTTTTCTTGCTACATCTTAAGACCGAAATAAGTAAAACTAATGGATTTTACTAAAGATTGATAAAATATTTTGTAAATTATTTAACTAATTTTATTCACATTTCCTAGAACAGACTATTGGTTGATAATTATGAATTTAACGTAATTGATTTTGAATATTTTTGATAATTGATTACGAATATTCTTTCAAAGACATGTTTTTAAATATTAATTTAAATTTACAGTTTCAATCTTAATGCTTCCCTGGACATTATCTGAACATTTCTTTACTAGAAAACTGTTAGAAACAGCAAATATTATCACAGATACAGAAACTGAGAGAATGTTTTTATCTCGATGTTCACAAACTTTGTAATTTTCATCAAACTACTTCTTAAAAAGATCTTCCATAAAAAAAATTTTTATTCATTTCATAAATTCATGAGACATATAAAAATTTATAATATTAATAAAATAAACGAATTAGCTAAATAAAATTATTTTTTTTAACAAATTTATAAATTTTTATCAATGGCTTAACTGAGAGATTAAAAATTATTTTTTATACATTAAATAGCACTTTTAAGGAAAAATTTTGCGAGAATTTTAAAAAAATCAAAAGTTGTTTTTGCTGCATGGGTAACTTTATACATAATCATTCATCTATTTCGATAAATCACTTAAACCCAAAGATCGCAAAATAGACAGCAAATTCAAAATTACAGCCATTAAGTCAAAATATAACGATGAGTTAATCATTTAAAACCTTAAAAGTTTTTATTTATCTCTAATAGCAAAAGCAATACAAGTTAAGAGTTAAAATTAAACCTTATTTTGCAGAATAAAATCTCAACATTTAAATGTTAAAGCATTTTTATTGATCAGGGTGTGTAGCCAAATCTTTCAACAAAAAGTAAGCACCTTTTAAGTACTTTTAAGCACTATTGCTTAAAAGTACTTAAAAGGTGCTTACCACAATGTACATTAACAAAATGCAAAATAATTTTCAGACTTTACATGATCATGATATAATAACTAGTTTTCGACAAAGACCTCTTTTCTTAATTATATTAGCCTCCTTAAAAAGATCGAGATACTTTTCGGTTCGATTTCAGAGGGTGGAAAATGAAGCTTGAAATGGAAAATATCGTGCAAAATGCAGAAGAGTTGCACATGAGAGTGCAAGAATCTCACTGAACTCAGCTCAGTCGACGCACATGCGGACTCGCAAGTATTTCATCAAACATGTAAAATGATTGGAGCTTTCATATGCTACTGACCGACGGTACGCTGAAATGGATTGTGGTTGAATGAATTGTGAAAACGTTGAACAGAACAATGTTAAAATCATGATTTGCATAATATGTGACGAAAATCGACGTAGTAAAGAAAATTTCCCTTTTGAAAAGGGAAAATCAAGCACTTTTTAAAAGCACCAAAAGAAAATAGCACCTAAGGGCTTTTAAAAAACAAAAATAAAAAAAGCAACTTTAAGAACTTTTTACAAACGCTACTCCCTATGTTGACAGAAATTGTAAGAAATTTTCCTCATCATGTTGAATTAAATACAATAATATTTAAAAAGTGATACATAAATTTTATCAACTAGTCTAACACTCCAAATGATGCAATTCCAATATACAAAAAATTTAGGTTAGTTATAAAAAATAGGAAAATGAAAGAAATTTTTAAATTTTTAATGGATAAGTAAATATATATTATTTTTAAAATATTACTTTTTATGAAATAAAATCTATCAAACAAAATAAAATATTTATTATAGCATTGCTTTAGTGATATATGCACTAACAGCGGTAAAATTATAAACATAATTTTACAGTAAAATATACAGTAAAATTATATAAACCCTTCCTTTACTAACGAGTTTGAAGTTATTTTATTACAATTAAGAAAATTAGAAAACAAACATCAAAATTTTTGTTAACTTTTGAAATAACGACGATCATACTTTCAAAAATCCTTTTGTGGAAGGAATTAAAGCACTTTGGAAGTTATAAAAATTTTCCATCAAAACAGCCATTAAAATGTATTTTTAGAATTATTAACCAAAATTAAAACACAAAATGTCTACACATTGATTGTCGCAATTGTTAGAAATACCTTTAACCTCAAATTAAACCTTTTTGAAATTTATTGCATGCTCCTTTCTTTTAATTTATCAGATTTTGATTGCATTTTTGTTTTAAGCTAGTTTGTATTAATTGGCTACTCCAATTCATTTACAATTTTGCTTTTATTTTTATAAGGATTACAAAAATACATATTAAGAGTGGTCTTTACAGAACACCTTGAATATACTTTTTTATTTCTATTGATAAGAAAAATGTGGAGATATAATTTACAGCCTCCTGCTTATCATGTAAAAAATTATCCATAACGTAGTTTCAGTTTATGATATAATTTTTTTTCCATTAGTTTCTAAAGCATAAAATTTTTTGAACAAAATGAAAGTAAGTACCGCGAATTTTTCAAGTATTACCGTTTTAGAGTATGTCTCCTGCAATCTAATATGTGAAATGCTTTTATTAAATAAATGGTTTTCATGAAAACGAATACAATTTCTCGAAAACAAATACAATTCCGATTTTTCACTTTTAAAATGATTTTTTGATAAGTGCTTTGCGTTAAATCAAATCCATTTTAAGCTTTCACCTCGCAATTGAGCATTCTTGAAGTAAAATGATACAAATGCAATTCAATTCAAATTTAAGGATTTTAACAGATTAAAAACTTCTGCAAATCCCGTTTATCAAAAGCGAAATAATTTAGGAATCGTATTGCCATTAATTTGCATGATTTTTTTTCAGAACTGTTAAAAGAAAATAAAAAGTGGGGGTAAAAACCACTTGAGAATAAAGTACTTTCTTATTTAGAGAAAGATGGATTTCTAAAAATAATGCATACTAAAAAAAAAAAATATGAAATGAGAAGTTTTTCTCCAATTTTTCTTTTCTTTTGCAAATTTTTCTTCCTCCTAGAAATGCATTGTCCACGCATCAAACGTGTTTTCTTCGAAGCATGATTCTATTTGCAAAACCCCTGCAGGAGTCTAAATTGTAGAAAAGAGGGCAAAAGAGCCTGGAACGAAATAAAAACAAAAGAAAACAGTTCTGTTTAAAGTGGAATACCAGCGCATATTTTCCCTCGAAGCCAAAAACAAAAAATGCGTCAACCTCTAAATTGAATTTCCTACCCTATTTTACTTTCCCTTAACAATGGACAAGTTGCGCATACACATGCCAAGTCAGTTTATTTAAGTTATTTTGCATGACGAAAGTGGCAACAGTTCCGCTAAAGGAATTCCAAAGCGTCGCAAAAATAGGCTTATAGCACCCACTAGAAAAAAAAAGGGAGGAAATGTTCGCATCATTTTGTTCTTATTTTTTGTTCCCCTTCCCCTCTAAAAATATTTCTAAGATGGTTAACCGAAATAATATGTTCTCGCTCAAAAGCAGATGGAATATTCGAGAAAGAGGAAAGCATTGATAGTATCACGCCTTCTTTTAAGCTGATTTTCTTTTAAAAATCGCTTTAAATTTTAACACAAAGTACATATTTGGTAGCATTTGTTTTAAAAAGAGATTAAGAATTTCAGTTAAACTTTCCCTCCTTTTTTTATTTTTTTCCTGGAAAATGGGAATTCGAAAAAGTAAATTTAAAGGGCGTTTCTTTTCAAGAAATATCTGTTATGGGAAGAAAGAAATTAACATTTTTTCTTAAATTACGCGAATTTTTTTTTTACCATAACAAAAACAAGATTTAAATATTGCGTTCAAAAGATGCGATTTCATATTATAAGCTTAGAAACGATTATTTTTCGTACCACATTAACAGGATTTTCGAATTTGAAGCATGGCTTGATTTAAACATGTGCGCATATAAATTTTTAAAACATAAAAGAATTTTCTCAAATTTGCTATAATTATTAATAGCCTATATAAATGAACTTATTGACTGATTAAGGTTTTTGTTTAATGCGTAGCGTAATTAAATCCTCTTCATTTTTTAATCATTTAAAGCAATCAGGGTATTGAAATAGAAAGTACAGTTATGATATGAAAAAGAATCGATTTATTATAAAAAATATTATTCAAAAGTTCATCTAAGTTCATTCAAAAGTTCATCATTCATCTAAGTTCAAAAACAGTATTCTCTTAAAAAATACAAATTTATGCTTTAAATTACAAAATAATTAATGGGGTATTGTGTTAAGTAATTAAATGTGGAAAATACTTTTTTAGACTGTTAAATAATGTTACCTTTTTTTTTATTTCGCACATACATTTATAATTTACAATCAAGTAGTTAGAAATACGTCAGATAATCGAAATCACCAATCATAAGGAATTAAATTATAAATCAAAATTCCGTTAAAGTTCAATATTTCATTAAAGATAAAGGTTAATCAGTAATTTGGTTAAAGTAATTGAGCATAAAAAGACAATTGCTTTGACTATTAAATACTTTTTAATGCCACTTATCAATTGCTCAAACTCTGTCAAAATTATAAATACGTCACTGAGTCGAATCCTGAGAGATTAAATTATAAATCGGATAACGTTCAATTGATCATTACAGGTTAATCGCTTTGTGGTTAAAAT